TTGGGAATTGATCTACAATCAATTTGTTCACAGATAGTTGTCCTATCTTGTTTCAGGTGTTAATCTAGAACTAAGGCGGAACTTGGGTAGGGCTGCTTCAGGATGAGTCTGTGTGAAATTTTATCTGGCGATGAGAAGGAACCTGGGTAGGGTTGCTTCATGATGAGTCCGTGTAAAACTTCTTCTGGAAATGAGAAGGAACCTGTGTATGGTTGCTTCAACTGGTCGTGTAGATAGTTGCCCTGGCTTGTTTCAGGAATTAATTTATAATCAGCTGTTCTCAGATAGTTGTTCTGTCTTGTTTCAGGTATTAATCTGGAACTTGTTTTTGTTGGTCATTGAGATAGTTATCATGGCTTGTTTCAGGTATTAATCTCTGACCTTAGAAAGAAAGATAGTTTTCCTGGCTTGTTACAGGTATTAAGCTTCAATCTGCTCATGTAGATAGCTTTTCTGGCTTGTTTTAGATATTACTCTCTGACCTCTTTGAAAATTGTTGATGATAGCTATCTCTTGTTTGATCTTTCTTGAAAAGGTAAAGAATTAGTTGCATGCAATGTCATAATGTATGAAACGCATGGCGTAATGATGTTTTCAAAATAAATGAGATTGTGATGTATGCATTTATCATATATGTAATATGATGCATGAATGTGAAGTATTTGTTGAAATGTAATTTTGTTTTGGAAAATAAATCCTTGACAGATATTTGGGAGCTTTAGAAAGTTGATTCCCATATAAGAATGATAGTTTACATTGGGTATCAAAGTCGTAAGTAATATGCAAATCCACATGGTAGAGATGTAAATTGATGAAATTGATCAAATATAATTTTTGGGTCAACTATAAACATGTCCCATAATATTTTCAGGGAGGAAACGTTAAAATCATATTGCATGGACTTTTATTACCATCAAACTAGACCACCGTCAAATCTAACTCCTGGAGATTAAAGAGATCCAACTAACAGAGGTTATCATTAACCAAAATAGAATGGAAAATAAGACCATCTAAAAGAGGCATATCTAAATTAGATTCTCTAAATATCTCTATGAAATAATTCACTATCTCTTAACTAATATTAGATACCCCTTCAATTCACACCTCTCCAACCTTAAGTGATAGGATGTTATTCCTTTTATTTCTACTCTTAACATAAACATGGAAGTATTCCAAATCGGAATCACCCTCCTTAAATCATTTACACCTTGATATTTGAACTAGTTTAGAGTCTTTAATCCTAAACAAAGACCACAAATCTGCAATTGCTCTAGATCTAAGCTCAATATCACCAACACACATGGGCCTAAGAATTAAAGTGTTTGTACCGACATAGTTGAGCTTAGTTGAATGTGATATAAACTCATGTAACATGGCAAACTAAAGATTAAACTTTGATGAAAAAATATCAATATTTAATATTAAACACGTTTTGAATAATATAATTTGACTATTGCATGTATTTTTTTATTATAAAAAAATTTAGGTGAATTAAATCGGCATCAAAATTCAAAGAAGTTTATATAGATATATATAAATTATTTATTAAAGATGTTCTCAACGGATGCAAAAGTTGAACTTATAATCTTTTTTGGTGTGAGACAATTTCTTACCCACTAAATCAATATTTTAGCACTATTTATGTACAATGGAGCTATTATGGTACTCGCACATTCCCGATGAGCTTTGTACTGCTCTCTCAGGGTCATCTTCTTATAAGCTTGATAAATTTATTTAAGGGTATATTTGAATACATGTGAAATTACGTATTTTCCTTTTTAAATAGAAGAAACGGTTAACAATTGAAAGTGTGAATCATGATCATTCATGAGATTTGATCTTGATGACTAGTAAAGCTCTCGTATGCAGAACCATCTACGAAGGGAAAGAAAAGGAGAATACATGTTATGCATTTTTTTTCCTTTATTTTTCTCCTGGGCCTTCTCCTTCTTAACCTTTGAGGGCGGCCCAGAACATAATTAATATTTATGTTTTTGTTTAATTTGACGATCATGAATTCCTTCTACGCAATATAAGATATAGTTTAAATTTATGTAAAATTTATTATTCATAAACATGTTTGATTATCAAGGCAACTACTTTAAAATTGAACGTTGTTGAAATTTTATATAATAATGACTAAAAGGTCCAAAATTTATAGATTTGTATTATTTGGACGGTTCCATTCTTGTTGATCATGTATCAACAACTAGTCAATTTGGATGGTTCCAATCAAACTAAAAGAATATAATTTTAAAATTTTATACCGTTTATTTTTTACTAGAATGATTATCTTATGCACCACATGTAAACAATAAATGATCAATGATATAGAAAAAATAGAATTCACTCTCATGATATGCCACCCTTATGGATTCCATAGATCCGAGTGAACATACTCAAAAGATTTATTACAAGTGGCAGGTTTTACGACAAGCGAAACATTTAAACCTTGACTTATAAAAAAAATTGTACTTAGACTTTGACTTGGATCTTTTCCCTACTGTGTTTCATTTACTCTTACTTCTTTCTCTTGAGACACTTAAGCCTTCGCTATTACTGTAAACCTTCAAATCATTCAACTTTCATAACTCCTTCAATCTTACGATCACCTGAACTTCATCCAAAGTGATAATATGTTCCTTATTCTAAAGAATGTCATCATTGAAGTGTTCAAAGAATATGGATAATTAGCTTAACAAGAGTACAACTGTGTTTTAAACATCAATCTTCACCTTAATATTTTTTAAATCATCAATGATCTTATAAAATTCTCTCAACTGCTTCACAATAGATTTCTTCTCCACCTATAGAAAGAATAAAGTTGTTATTTCAGAGACAATAGGTGAGTTGGTGAATTAGTCATATATAATTATTCAAGCTTGAATCACATCTCAACCGAGATACTTTTCCCACGACTTCCCTTAATATTGTATCTCTAAGACAAAAGATAATAGCATGTTTGGTCTTAACCACCATCTTAGTCGTCTCAGCTTGTGTTAGACTTACAAACATCAAAGCATCTTCTTTCAAAACTTCTATAGATTTTTATTAAATTAATATTGTTTGCATCTTCATATTCCATAATCTGAATCATGTCTCTAAAAAACTTCTCGATGTTCAGTTAAAATTCATGTTGTTCAGTTGTAAACTTAACCTTTTTCTTCACCGTGGGTACCACTTGGTGTGAAAAAACTGATAAGAATTCAAAATTTGAACACATCAAGTCTGTAATGTGTGAAACAAATAACAATAATATACATTTAAAAAAATAACATATGAAAACACATAGAATCTTGTTTACCACCTTGTTTTATTAAATCAATCTATGTTTGGAGAGAGAAATTAAATCTCTTAATCCATTATGCTTCTAAAAGTTGTTAAAATGAATTCCAATATTACTTGCGAAACTAAACATTCTTTTTAGCTCAAGTGCTTCCGATATCTTCAACTCTCAATATAAAGTTTCTCAAATCCCTTTAGTGACCCCCAAAGGCTAACAAATCTCAAAAATATAATCCTATAAATTTCTACCATTTTCTTCTCATTAGAATTGCTGCCTCATGCATCACATGTAAACATATAACTCATCAATGAACGAATATGCTAACAAGCCTGAGACCCGTCTGGACTGTTGGGTGGCCTGACCTCTAACCTGTTGTTGCCTAATCACCAGTTGTTGGACTAGTAGAATCTGTCAGATGTTGTGCCCACATATATGTTTCAAGTCATGCCGTCGGACTAGTAGAATCTGTCAGATGTTGTGCCGACATATATGTTTCGAGTCACGCTGTCTCTCCTTGCCGAAAAATCTAGAAGTACTAAAAATATAGTCTTCAAGTGATTATAAAAGTGTGTTTTACACTATATTGGATAGGGTGTTTGAGTATGAAAACAAATTAATTTACAATGAGTTGAACTACGATAAAGTTAATGTTAAAGAACTACATTCTAGTTTTTCTTATCAACTAAATGAAGGACAACATAATGTTTATGATACAATAATGAAATGTGTTACTTAAGATGACTAAATGTAGAACAAGAAAAGATTTTACTATTATAAAACTGTCTCCTACAATCATATCACGGGTAAAATTTGTGTTATTGCTTTTCTACTACTACATCAAAAATTACTCGATTTGATAATTTAGACAAAGGGGAAAATGAGAAAAATCTATAATAGCCTTTTAGAGGTAAAGTTGTTGATATGTGTGGAGATTTAAGACAATTATGTGTTGTAAGAAAGCGTTCAAGTATTGTATCATCAAGGTTGTGGCGAATTCATAAATAAGGAAAAGTTCCAAGATTTTGAAACTTCCAGAAAGATAAGTAGTGGTCCTAAACAATCTTTAGATGAAATAAAGAATTTGCAGATTGAATTTTAAAAACTGGGAATGGTGCAGTGGAAGCGGTCGAGATATACATCAGTTGTGTATCCCATTCAAATGAAATATTTTAGAAACAAACAATATTCAGGCCAATTTTAGTGCCCCTAGAATAATCATGACTTTGGTGAAAGAAAACAATTACTTTAATTTTTAAGAAATACATAGAATGATTTACATATGAACTTTTGAATAAAGTCAAAATGTATGGGTTTAAATTGAAGGTAACTATTTCTATAATGCTTAAAAATATTTATCAAACAAATTATTTGTAGAAAAATAAACGTTCACAAACTCATTAAAATAGGCTTTGAAACCTGTATTCCTAGTATCAGTTTATTAGCAAAAATTCAGACTAATTTTCTACTATAACAAAATTGAACACAATTTAAAATGCACACTTCACCCAAAGGGTATTACAAAATACTACTAATGAGTTGTGTGATTGATTGTGAGCAACTAAAATAGAGCAAAAATGCTAATTTCTCTAAATTAAAAAAAAAACCTTCAAAACAATTTCAGAGTCTAAATTTGACATAAAATAGAGTTCGGAGACGAATATTGGATGAAAATACAAAAACAAAAAAAAATTACAGATCGACAGTTTACTCAGCATCAGTAGCGATTTCCCCAATTTTCTTGTTGTGCTTTCTTGCGTACCTCTGGTTCCTCAAAAACTTGGGATCCATCTATAAACAAATAATCAAAATCATATAAAAAACAAGAGAAATTCGTTAAGAAATGAAAGGAGAATGAATAGATACCCCTTTGGTTGAAGTGTGGCGATGCCTCTTTGGCTTTTTGATGCCATTCTTGTGTGCTTTGTATGATTGATTGTGAGCGGTGTGATTCTTCGACTTCGCCATTTCTGAAATTCAACACAGAGATTAAGAACAACGAGATGTGAGAGGATTTAGATAATTGAAATTTGGAGAATTAGAACAAAAAACAAACCCTAATTCGCTAGTTCAGATGATGGATTGGCGCTAGGGTTTTTTTTGGAGAGAAAGAAAAGGATTTTTATATATGTCACTGCAAATTGATTGTTTCGGGTTGAAGGTCAAAGTGGGCTTTGGCTACATGAAGCCCAAACTTTTACTCCCCAAGTTATTCCGGTCACCTTTGAGCATTTAACCGGTCACGCACACATTTATATCTCGTACCCCTCATTTTTATTTACTAATTTTACAGTAGAGATATTGAAATTTTAAAATTTCTATTATGAGAAATTCCAAATTTCCTATAAATAGTTATAGAAATTTTAAAAAATTTAGTATGTTTAAAAAATTCTAAAAATTTTAATTTTTTTGATAATATTTTATTTTATTTTTTCCTTTTTTTTATTATTTTTTCTTGAAAAATAGATTCGGTAAAATAGCTATCCGACTTTATATATGCATAAAAACAAACTACAATAACTTGCTACATAAATCTTCTCAGTGTTTAAAGCGATTCGCATATATTGATTATCATGTTTTTGCATCATCGATACAATGATGTCTCCAACGATCAGTGACGGAAGGCAATGGGCAATCTGGTTTCAACTTTACCTGAATCCAATAATTGTAGTTGGCAAAACCAAAAACAATAATTGTATGCCTACTCGTTTACATGGGTAGAGCTATGATAAGGGGAAAAGTGTGGTGTTAAGTGTCATGAAAAGGGAAATAAATATGACATTGTATCTAGAAGTAATAGGGTAACTCATATCAGAAATCGTCATCTATTTGTCCATATTATGCACACCCAAGTGTTCTACTTGTAACACATTCCTAATTGTAGAGACATTGTCATATAACAAGTTGGAAAACAACTAAGAGTCTTGATGAACTTGAGAATCTAACTGCGTCTGAATCAAAGATCATTACTTTTCGTTCCATCGTTATCAACATCAATAATATCATTGATGTATGAATGAAATAAATCAGTAAATTGTGACAAGTAAATATCTCTTGAAGATTTGGTGGACGGTTGGTTGTTGATCGACATACTTGACGGTTGACTTTCAGTTGGTTTTAGGCATGATCTCTTTGTAGTATGATTCCCCTGCGAAGCCTCAGCATACTCCTATTGAGTAGGATCACTATGCACGTTACTCTCTTGACCTTTTCTACTCTTCTTAACTCCCCTCTTTTGTTTGTACTTCACCGACAGTAGGCACATTGAAGTTGTGGATGGATGATATGTTAGATCACAAACCTTTTTCTTCAACACCCTCTAACCAACAATATCTAAAGTACTAAAATATTTCTTCACACTCTTCTTCTAAATCCCACTTTGTACTACTCTCATCATGACTTACCTCATGTTCTGCAATGTGCAATCAAAATACATGAATTGAGTCTAAAGGAATAGGGTTACCTAGAATTTGGAAACCGGTAAGCTGACACGCACATGATAACCCATTTATTGTTCTATTGAAGCAGCCACATCTCTCTTGGCTTAACCCAACAAATTTTACACTTTATAGTTCTTTTTCAATAAGTTGTATACATTGTCTTGAGACAAAATCATGCAACTTAGCATAGAATAGTATATTATACCGATGCTCAATGTTGACAATATTTTTTTGAAATGATACTCTAATAAAACCTAGTTGCAACTTCAACATGGTGTTCACTCTAACAAATCTTTTTTTTATAAGGTGTTAACCATGTTTCATGCACATACTTAACAAATAAAGGAATATCACCACAAACACTTTCAAAATACTTGGAGGGTACATTAAACTCATGTTCTATATGTGAATACATGATGTTATTCCATTGATCTATGACATGTTCTTGTCTTTCTGGTTTCACATACTTTTTACATTTTATGCTCACATTTTTTAAAATATGGAACGTACACAATAGATGAGTGACATTTGGAAACACAGATTCCATGACATTCATCAATGCAAGTTCTCGGTCTGTCACCACAACCTTCGATAGCAATTTCTCTATATAAAACAACTCTTTGAGCTTCTCCGGTGCCCATGTAAAGTTCTCCTCCCTTTCATGTTCCAAATAGGAAAAGGCAACTAAAAACGTCAACCTCGTTGATATAACTCCAATAATCTCAAGCAATGGTATTTGATGCGTGCACGATCAAAATGCACATAACAAAAGAACTCACTCAACATCTACAACAGATTGTAGGATGTGAAAAGTAGAGTTCTTACCTACTTATCTTGTATGTGCAAACAAATATTAACACAAATAAAATATATTCAACAACTTCACAGAATCAAAATGTGTCCATAAGATATCAACTACAATATATGAGTTGTCCATTTCTAGTCTAACACATATATTTCTCTTGATGAATAAGGCTCAATAGCATCTACATTTTGTCAATGCACCTCTCTTTCTTGCTTGGTATGTAGTTATTGCTATATACACCTGAATAACACTCATGAGGTTTTTTGGACCTCTGTCTTTTAAAGAAGAAACTATGTACCAAGGAGCCATATTGTACTTCGTCATGTCATTCACAAACTTTCTTTCACGATTTTTAGACGACCCAATATATCATGTCTTTCCAAATCCTTATATAGTCTATGATTGTGCAGCTCGCATCTAATCATCATCTTCCAACCGATACCACTTAGAATAGATCTCAGTTTAAATGGATATTTAACCTTCACACTATAAATGCCATCAGAGGAATTAGTGATTTCAGATGCATCTTTTCTTTTGTAATTTCCTCCTCTTTCACAATCCATAATATCCTTCCTTTCTCGCATTCCATTAACAGAATCGAAACGAACAATGACAACAATAATACCATATTGTTTACCAGTAGACTGTGTTCATGCTAAAACTTTAGACCATGAGTTAAAAATCTATCAATTACAATATATAATTATGAAACTTTATCAATTTCATAAATGACGAGAAACAATTAAAACTGCATTAATTCAATAGGAAACATATGGTATCTATGGTAAAGAACTCAATATAATCTATACACTAGTACGAAGAAGAAGTTGTCGGTTCTGGACCACAAAGATACAAAATTTTATATGCACATACCAAAAATTTCAAGCTAAATATCTGGTATACCGGAAATTCATAATTTCCAGTATTACGTTTCATACCGAAAATTTTAAAAATCTCTGATAAGTTTCCTAAATTTCTTGGTATTCCTCAAAAATTTTGAAATTTCCGATAAGTCGTCCCAGAAATTTTAAAATGTCTCATAATTTACCATCGAAAATTTTGAAAACACAAACAACTTTCGGTAAAATGTACAATTTTAATATCGAAATTTCGTTCTTTTCACCCCTATACCAATAGTTAATTGTTTTTAACAAATATAATTTTTTTAGGTAAATAATAACAGACACATTTTTGTATTTAAAAAATTGAGGATAAAATGCTTGCCACCTTTGTTACCAATAACTTTACCATAATACTTTTAAATTTATAAAATCAGATTTTATTGATTTATACAAAATCTAATTCAAAATACCATATTTTTACAAATAATCTTTATTTATTGGTTTTTTCTTAATGAATATTTTCCTAAAACATCTAACATTCTAGATAATTCATGAATTTTTTAAATTATTGGTACTAAAGTTTTGTGGTTATACTAGATTATTAAGAAAATCTATGAACTCATTGTTTAGATATCTTTCTACAGTGCTTTTCAAAAGTTTGATATAAAAATATGGAGAGGTATCAAATATTTTAAAAAAATTTGATAAGATTTTAATTTAGGTTATTGACAGAGTTGGTTCTGTGCAAGAGCAACAAATTATTCGGTAGAAAGTCCTAAATTTTTAGAGATTTTAAATTTTAAAAGTTTAATTTTTTTATTAGTTTTAATTAAAAAAAAATACTGTAGTAAAAATTCAATAAATCAAAAAAGTGTTAAGATAAAACTCAATATACATTAAAAAAATGATATTCATAAAAAATTAAATAATTATAACTGTTCTGGACTGGGTCCGTTCTGGCCCAAGAGCAAGAACGAAAGCCCAATCCAAGCAACTCTACAAGAGGCGCGCGCCCGAAAGATTCCCGCCAGCACGTCGATCAGAAGCTACAGCCGTGTCCGCCATGCTCGCGGACACGACGTCGTCGACCCCATGAAATCCAGCTCGAGCCCAGCTCGAGCACCCTCCTCGTAGGGCAGACTATGACCGTTACTCCATCACCTGAACTCCGGAAAGATCGCGTCTTCGTCCCTCCGTACTTCTCGCAGAGCATCACCAGGAAGGGGACCACGTGCGGGTCCCCACTACACACATAGAACCTGGCAGTTTCTTTATTGGGTCAGTCTTGGTCGGCCCAATGAAGGGACCTTGGCCCCGCGCTGGGGGCTATAAATACCCTATATTCCTAGAGGGTCGGGTATTCATTCTCTTACCCATATACACATTTTTTTCCTGCTCGTACTGCCACTCACTTTAGCATCGGAATGCCTTGCAGGTACCCCCCCCCATCTCGTTCAACTTCAGCTCGGAGCCAGTCGTGACGGTCCAAGTCTGATCAGGTAAGATCAGTGGCGCCGTCTGTGGGAATTTAGCTTCCCCGTCTTGCAAAAACTCAAAGACCAAAGCTCAACTCAACTATCACCGTCATGGCTGACCAAGTTCGTGATGAACAAAACATCCTCGTCGTCGACACCAACAACGGTCTCGCGGATAAAAATGGACACCCTGATAACGCCGGCAACCCCGGTCATAACACCATCCCTATGTCGACTGCCCTCGGGCCCTCAATCCACCGCGACGGAGTTACTGCATCGTCCTCCTCGGTCCCTCCGCCGCTCGAAGAAGACAATGCAGCTCCCACAAACTATCGAGTTGCTCAGTTTCAGGAAGTCCCTGTCCCCGCCAGGGCAGATGCCACAACCCGCGCGCTGTTCGTGGCGATCAATCAAACAAATTAACTCATCTTCGCCCAAGGGGAAAGATTGAGGGCGTTAGAAGACGATCGAAGACCCCCGAGGAGGCACCGGAGGCCCCAGACTCCACCTCCTCGAGTAACGGAAGTACATCTCCCGTCCCCCCCGCGGAGACAATACAGAGATGCCTCCCGAAGCCCCTCCCCTCGACCCTCGGGGAAACGACCCCCTTTGGAGAGGCAACCCATCATTGAAGTCGGGGGACGCGGCCACGCCCCCCCCCCCCCCCCCCCGACAAGAAAGAAGACACTCTGGAGACGGGCATGGAAGAA